TGAGGAGCAGCAGAACCCCAACCAACATCATGAACTGGTGGAGGGATGACAGCCCAACCATTATTTTGTGCGGGAGTTTTTTGGGGAGACTGGGGAATTGGTGCGAGAGTTTGTTGAGGAGTTTGTTGAGGAGCAGTATTACTCCAACCAACATCTTGAGCAGGAGGAGGGATGGCACTCCAACCTTTACTTTGTGCGGGAGTTTTTTGGGGAGACTGGGGAATTGGTGCGGGAGTTTTTTGAGGAATTTGTTGGGAAGATTGTTGAGTAGTAACCCAACTATCATCTTGAGCAGGTGGAGGGATGACACTCCAACCATTATTTGGTGCGATATTTTGATCAGAAGTTTGTTGATTAGTAGTAACCCAACTATCGTTTTGTACCGGTGTCTGTTGCTCATTACTTTGTGCGGAGGTTTTTTGAGATGTAGTAGTAATCCAGCTATCGTTTTGTGTTGAGGTGGTGGTAGTAGTAGTAACCCAACTATCATCTTCTATTGGTGTTTTTTGAGGATCAGTAACAAGGCTGGGTGTGTTATTGGAAACAGTAATATAACTATCAGTTTGTATGGGTATCTTTTGAGAATCAATATCCAGATCATCATTTGAATTTAGTGTTTGTTGAAGATCAATACCTAAGCTAACGTTTTGTGCAGGCACTTGAGGAGTGGTGCTCCAACCAATGTTCTGTGCAGGTGCTTGAGGAGTGACATCCCAACCAACATTTTGTGCAGGTGCTTTTTGAGGATCTGTACCCCAATTATCATTATTTGTAGGTGTTTTCTGAGGTACCGTACCCAAATTATCATTTTGTGTTGAATTATTTTGAGAAACAATCCAACTATCGTTGTTCTGTGCTGGTACAGGATCCAAATGATCATTTAGTGCAGGCGTTTGTTGAGGTGCAGTATTAAAGTTATCAATTGGTTCAAGTGTTTCTTGAGGAGCAGTACCAAAACTATCATTTGGTTCGGGTGTTTGTCGAGAAGCAGTGTCAAAACCATCATTTTGTTCGGGTTTTTGTTGAAGAGCAGTACCAAAATTATCATTTGGTGTAAATGTCTGTTGAGAAACCGAACTAAAATTATTGTTTGGCGAAAGTATTTTTTGAGAGGTACCCAAATTGTTATTTTGAAACGGCGCTTGTTGAGTAGCAGTATTCAAATTATTAGCTTGTAAAGGTGCAGTGCCCCAATTATTGTTTTGTGAAGGTGTTGGCTGAGAAGCGGAACCCCAACCAATATTTTGTGAAGGTGTTATTTGAGAAGCGGTACCCCAATTATTAATTTGTGAAGTTGTTTGTTGAGGAGTGGTCCATTCAATATCTTGTGAAGGTGTTGGCTGAGGAGCGGCATCTCGATTAATATTTTGTGAAGGCGTTTTTTGAAGAGTGGTACCCCAATTATTATTTTGTGAAGGTGTTTGATGAGAAGCGGCAACCGGATGACCGTTAGTAATTGCGTTAGATAGATCTTGTGATATCGATTGATGAAAATTTTCAATTTGTGAATCGATTATACAGGATAACAATTTTTCTTTTGACGCAATGATCTTTGACAAATCAATTGGGTCCGTTTGAACTTCAACATCACGGAATTTCTTTTCATGCAATTCTTGAGATGTGGATGATGTTAATGTTTCAACAATTAATGGTTCAACAACTAATGGTTCAACAATTATTGGTTCAACTTTTGATTCAACGATTATTGGTTCAAAATTATCTTTTTCATTACATACATCTGATGAATATTAAACATATTAATATTGTAATGACTTATTTTTACGATAATATCAATCATTATCAAATATGGAATTTTAAATTACTTGGTATTTCACATTGTATTTCATCTTTTGAGGGTGAAGAAACTGAATTACTCGATTGTGATATATTCAAGGTATGAACATTACGGTAATTTGGGTCCCAATGTTCATCATCCAATATGTGTTGTTGTAGTTTTTTTTCAATCTTTAAGAAGTCGTAAGATTGTTGGATACCAGCCTGTAATGCAAGACTCTTTTTTTAAGATAATGTACAATAAAACATTTAAACTAATCCTTGACGAAAAAATTTTTTATTAACGAGATAAATAAAATGAAATGATTCGATATACATACGGTTAATTCCTCCTCTTCCTCCTCGCGTTGATAATCAAGATTTAATGGGGAACCTAAATCTACGATATTAGGAGGAGGTTCATTATCTGATGATTTTGTGGGTTCTTCTATAAGTGGGGCTTCTTTAGGTGAGGATTTCTTTGCCCATGATTGATCGACTTTGACAATGTCATTTCTTGAAGCCCACGAATTTTCTGATTTATTAGGTCCCCATGAATCATGGGTGGGATCATTGGTTTTCTTGACACCCAAACTGTTTTCAGAGGGAGTGTTAGTTCTAACAGATCCGACTGGCGTTCCCCAGCTGTTTTCTGGTTGTAAGGTATTTGACTTATTTGTTGGTGCCTGAGACCAAGAGACGTCGGTGTTATCAAGGCCTTGAGCGTTATTACCCCAATTATCTTGGGCCATGACACTGAATAAAATAAAAATCTGTTTTTTTTTTTCTTAACTGTTTTATTTTATTTTTTTTGGGACGAAAAAAATCAAGGAAGATACATAAAATAAATATATAGTGAGAAGATAAATTTAATTTTTTTTTTTACTGAAGGGGGTAAAGGAGGAAAAACAAGAAAATTTGCAAGTTTAAAGCGTGTTTTTTTTCCCTAAAAAAAACGGCTTTTCTTTTTCCCCCCTACCTTTTAAAACTTTTTACTTACCGTCTTTATATATTGACGCGAAGAGTGGTATAACTCGAATTATAAACGTAACGTATCTCACGTGAAAATGCGCTAACTGGATACAGTCTTTATATAAAGAGAGAGAGTTTGGTCAAAAGAGGGAAGGAAATATAACCTCTTTTTTTTTTTTTAAAAAAAAAAAAAAGATAATAGATATATGTATATAGAAGATTGATTGAATAAGCCACCGGAAAAAGTCAAAAGATGGGACTTAAATATAGGATTATATCACCATAATCACGTTTAATATAGACATTTATAAAAAAAAAAATCATTTGAAAAAAAAATTGATTAACATAACCAATCATTTAGACACAGAGAGTGAGAATCATTTGAATTTTGCGTAACAAGTCATGTGATTTTATGAACCAAGAATTATTGGATTTTTTGATTGTTACTACGCACAGACCTCTAAAAAGAGATAATCTCTTACAAACCTAAATTCATGTGCGCGCCAACCTTCTATTTACAATATATGTTTTTTTACATAATATTTTGATGAGGAAATTATTACAAATTAAATCTTTTTCATTTGCCATCGATAAATAATAATATTTTGATGTTTCCCGAAGAACAACTCTCGAGTTCACATATATTGCATGAATCCAATTCGAAAATAATATCAGAGAAAGGAATTTCTGACCCAATTAACCATGAAAAAATAATCTCATCTTTATAATTGCCCAGAGACTTTGTGTCTTATCAACTTTCATGTTTCTTTATTCCATAAAAAAAAATCCATTGATATACATCCGTCCGATTCGTTTATGAAAATTTTTTCTGAGATGATCGTTGTGTGAAACTAATGGTGCTGTCACTTACTTAATCATGTCACATTAGGGGGATAAAATACAATCGAAAAAGTGGGAACCATTTTAATTTTTTAAGTTGACCCGTAACAGGTTACGGCTTGCAGGAATTGAAACCATTATCACATGCATATATATATTTTGTTGGTTGAGAATTATAATAACCTTTACTGACCCGAATTAAGGAATTATCGGAAAAGTTCAATTATTTCTACCAAACACAAAATACCCAATAAAGTTATAAAAAGTTTCGATCTCGTTCTTGCTTTCCAATTTCTCCTTTTTCACAACCATCAATCATATGGCTTCCTTTGCTCAAGGCGTGTAACGTGTAGTCATTTCCAAGAATGTTAACAAACAAAATGACTTTGACTCAACATGAACATGGTAAACAATGATATTTCTCATTCAAGTCACATTCATAAACAAACATTACCTCATGGGCGCAGCCATACCGGATCTGGCACGGGTAACAACGCATCCGATCTAGTCCGGAGCCGCGTTCTGTTCCCATTCCTTCAATATTCGAAAAGATCATATCGTTCTTTATAAATGTGGGATTTGTACCCTTTCGAAGTTACTCGATTTTATAATGATCGCAATTCATTTATTATACGTTCCCGAAAGTGTAAGTTTACTTCACAATAAGCTATATCCCTAACAAAAAAAAAAAAAAGTTTATCGACGTTTGTATAATAATAAGATTCAATTCCTTACAAGTGTTTTTTTTATCTTCTACTTTCACCCGACATCATTATTTTGGTGAGTATGTTTTTCTTTTTTGTAATGAATTATCTTAAAAATAAGGTCAATTATAACTTACCTCTTAAAAAACTGTGCCTAGAAACAAGATAAAAAAATTTCAGCCACGGGTAAAGAAACTAATGAGGTTTTATCATTGGGAGTAACCTTCAGTGCTCGATACTTAATAAATAAAGAAACGTTGGAAAAAAAAAAAAATAGTCATTGATCATGAACGATAAAGATCGTAATATAAATAATGGTTGGTCATATAGTCCCTCTGTAAAAGAGGAAGTCAATATATCATCCTATCCACTTACAGAGTGTAATGATGTAACGAACCATTCCATCATAAATAGGCATCGGCCTAAAGTTTGGGCCCAGGTACATCATTCATCTGGAATTCTTCATGATTTTTGGTTCCTTTACATTTTGTAATGATTGTAATTTTACACTTATTCTTCTCTTAAAAGACACGACAAGAACTTTGTGAGACATTAAATTATTTTAGAACTTATCAGAGCGGTGTGTATCATAAAGATAACGTAGTTTATTCGTATCTTATGGATGCATTTGGTGCGAAGCGAGATGTATGCAATGGGCGCGTAATTATATCGCATGGGTAATATTTATTTCACGTTCTTCAATAAAAAAGAAAGTTTCCTTGTCAAATTAAAATTCGACTCTTTATCTACTTCTTTTTGAAATAATTGTTTAGTGGGGGTAAAAGCTCTAAACAGAACAATGGTAGATACGGGCTTTTTGATTCGCAATTAACCACTGACGCTTCGGTTAGCTCTCTGCTGAACAATTTCGTCGATAAACAACCGGTGATCATTATCGTTGGTAATAAGTGCTCAATTGTTAAATTCCAAGTTCCTGCACGGTTTTGCGTACTTGGGTAATTATCAATTCATGATGTTTTTTTTTTTTTTTTATCGAGAGTGCATTGTTTGATCTTTATTTGTGATTTATTAATAAAGTTTTGCATAGCATATAACAT